CCTGCTCGGCTGCGGGCGGGAAAATGCGCAAAGGAGGCAAATGGACCCTCTTCAAACACCTCCTAGAGGATGGACAATCCAAAGGCAATCAGAAACTAGCCATAGACCGACTTATTAATAAGGAGAAAATGGCAGGCATCTCAGAAGCTTCCCAATTTCAGATACTTGCCAACAAGTACCTCCCGCTTAGCCAGAGCTCAACTTCTGTCCCCCACCGGTATGAGGGTGTGCCTTCCCCAGAGTTGGACGCTCCCTTCTCGGAAGCTGAGATCAGGGAAGTGCTCCATAGCCTAAACGGAAGGTCTGCCCCAGGTCCAGATGGAGTTACGAATCGGCTCTTAAGAAATTTGGATGATAAAGCCATTCAGGCCTTAGTGAAGGAGATAAACAGGGTATGGGAGGAGGGCGTCGTACCAGAAACTTGGAAGAGGGCCACAGTGGTCTTAATCCCCAAGCCAGGTAAATCACCCAGCTGAGATCACCTCCGCCCGATCTCCCTTACTTCTTGCCTTAGCAAAGTAGCAGAACATGCAGTACACAACAGGATATCGCGCTACGTCGAGAGGAATGACCTATTTCCATATAATATGGTAGGTTTCAGGCCCTCACTTTCCACGCAAGATGTCATGCTCCTCCTCAAAACACAAATAATTGACTTTCCAAGCAAAGATGTGAAAGGGGTCCTCGCACTGGACCTCACTAAAGCATTCGATACTGTCAAACACGACTATATTCTTAAGGAGATATCGGCTTTGAACCTGGGAGTTAAATTCTTCTCCTTCGTTGAATCTTTCCTCGAGAGTCGGACGGCGGCAATAAAACTGGGACAATCAGTCTCGGAGCCTTTCAAACTCGGACGAAGGGGTACTCCCCAAGGGGCAGTTATCTCCCCCCTTCTATTCAACATAGCCATGTGCAAGCTGTCGGCAAGCCTTTCTAAAGTTCCTAATGTCGGACACGCTTTATATGCTGACGACATTACAATCTGGTGTCCCGGAGGATCGGAGGCGGCGGTTGAACAAGCTCTACAGGAGGCTCTGGACGTTACAGAGTCTTTCCTGGAAGGTACGGGACTGGCGCTTTCGCCGGAAAAGTCGGAACTCCTGCTGTACAGACAGGCTAGACGAGGTGTTAGGGGACTCACCCCTCTCGATCAGGTGCCCATTAGCGTTTGCACCAAGGATGGTCGCACAATTCCTAGAGTCAATTCTATGAAAATTCTGGGGCTTTTATTAGACTCTAAGGGATGCAACGCAAAGACTATAGCCCATCTCACCACAAAAACAGAGAACATTCTGAGATTAATTATGCGGGTGTCCAACAAGAAGGGCGGCATAGGCGAGGATATCCTCCTTTGGGCCCACCACGCTTTCCTCATGAGCCATATCATATACATAGTGGCGGCTCTCAATTGGACCAAAACGGAAAGGGATAAATTGGACACGCTCATGCGCAAAAGTGTCGAAAAGGTGCTCGGCGTCCCAATCACGACTAGCACAGAAAAACTCATGAAGTTGGGAGTGCACAACACCACTTCGGAATTAATTGAAGCGCAAAGGTCAGCAAAAATAATTCGGTTATCGAGTTTCAAAACAGGAAGAAAACTGCTCGATGCGGCAGGCCTCCGTCCTATCTTCAATCAGGGAGAAACTACGCAGCTTGATTATCAAACAAGGAATTCCTTTATTGTTGACACTCTTCCACGAAACATCCATCCCCAACTCAATAAAGGTCGTAGGTTGGCGAGGGCTAGGGCTTTCATAAAGAACCTCTCCGGAACAGAGACATTTGTGGACGCGGCGCGCCACGCCGGCGGCAGCGGGTTTTCCGTGGCAGTAGTCAATGACAGGGGAGAACTTGTCTCGGCAGCTTCAGTGAAGACCTCCTTGGTCGATGTAGCAGAACAGGCTGCTGTAGCGCTGGCATTACTGGACACGAAACGCACCACGGTGTACACCGATTCCCGAGCGGCTGTTAGGGCGTTCGCATCGGGATTGATAGCCACAGAGGCAGCCAGAATTCTCCACAGCAAACCCCCCTCAGACGTTATTCATCACATAGTCTGGTTTCCCGCTCACATGGGACAAGACGTACTGCCGGGTCACCTGAACCCAAACGAGATAGCCCACGAGTGTGCGCGAGGTTTCACAAGCCGCGACGGGGTGGTCTCTCGGGTGGGTTCGGGAGAGCTCGTCCACAGTGATCCTCTCGTTACTTTTCACGAGATAACATCTCATTACAGAGGAGAGCGACAGACTTTTCCCTTTCCCCATCATAAGCTCCACAGATCACAAGCAAGCACGCTCCACATGCTACAGACGGGGTCTTACCCCTCTAGGGGCTTTCTGAGCATGCTTCATCCGGATATTGATCCACTTTGCCCTGATTGTGGTGAATTTTACTCTTTGAGTCACATGCTCTGGCAGTGCCCTGCGTTACAGGATTTTAAAACAGAAGAAGACTGGACGACGGCAATCACAGACACCAGACAAGACGTCCAGCTTCAGGCTGTCCAGAGGGCCCGTGAACGAGCGGAGAGGCATGGCCTCTCTGTTCCGACATGGGACTAGCCAACGGCTGGGTGGGGACCTACATAGTTGGCCCGCTGCCTTGCCTCTCAGGACCAAATAAAGTTGTTTGTCCTGTCCTGTGTTAAATTTTATTGACGTTTTTAATCAAACATTAAGCATGATTTTGCCGTTTTAAGGCCCACGGGGTGGTTCTGTGCTCTCTCATAGTTAAGTACCAAGTACGCTAAATGGTTCATCGTCATTCCTGAACACACTACCGTGTGTTTAAGCGATATCAAAGCAGCCAGGTACTTCGAATTCCCCCTCTTGGAACGCCGATATCTAACTCAAACGGTGTACCTAAGAAAATTTTGATACCTTTGCCATTCTGTTAAACCACCGCTCCACGTCTGCAGGAAAGCGCAAAGCTGCATCAGTTCATTTTTTGGTCTGGTGGCACAGAATTGTTATCGCGTCCAGCGTTAGTCCAACCGCGAGATCAAGGCGGTTTTGCATTCCCCGACGTTTCCGTCATGGCTTCTAGATTGCGCCTCCGCACTCTATTGCGAATACTAAGCTATGATGGCATGCCCGCTCAGACACTGGCTCGCTACCATCTGGGGCCATCAGTTCATGTCTTCTTGCCGGATAGCCAAATAAACCAAGGTCCCCAATCAACTGAATTACCATCTTTGTATCGAGCCCTTCTGGCATTTCATCGACGTTTGGAAGCTACGTGCCCAGAGATATAGGTGGCCGATTCTAAAGTGGTGAACACAATGGCCGCCCTTCTAAGGCCCTTGGTGCCCCAGCATCGTCAATCTGTAATGAACCGCGCTTGGAAACCAATAACTGCCGCAGTGTTGCCAGGGCATCTCAGAGACTTTGTCTGGAGGTTGGGCTGGGGCTTGCTCCCCACGCGAGATTGGTTGCAGCGATGGCAGGTGGTTCGCACTTCCACTTCCCCTAACTGCGTCATGGTAGAGACCAATCGACATACGACGTTTGAATGTGTGGTTTCCCGCTTTTTTGGCGCGCGGTTAATGCTGGTTTTCGGGGACAGGGGGTGCGAACTTTCGTGTTCAACGGCCGATTTCCGCGTAGCCGCTTCTCCGCTCTGTTAATAGTTGTGGGGCTGTTCAGCCTTTGCAGAAACCGATGTGAGGCCGTAGCTGCCAATTGCCGCCGGCGTGCTTTGTAGCCGATACTGGGGAGAATGAGACGAGAGATGCTCGCGTTCCTCTCCGAGGAGCTTTTCTTCCTCGGGGAGCAAGAGTTTCTGCGGCATTGGTCGTGCCCTTTCGTCAAGGTGGAACACGAAAGGATACAACTCATTTTTCGACCGACTTGGTGCTAAGCAACGCCCGTTGAGTTGTTTTATATGATTTCATTTGTTACATATTGTGTTTCATTGTATCTATTATATCGTTATACCATTGTATCATGATATCGCATTGAGTTCTTGTGTACATATATGCCAACATTGTCATGTATATTAGAGCAAATGTCTTCACTGTGACGTAGTGATGTTAGTCGTGAAATATGGATGTGCCGAAGTGTATATGCTCTGTTACTGGAATTGTATGAAGCCTTTGTGTTCTGTACATGCTGTAAAGAAATTTGTTCTAAACAGGCTGCATCATCATGAACTAGCGGCGGATAATGGTGGACACTAAATACGAAGCGCAGGCCTTAAGAGACTGCGTGCGTGCCGCTTCTCTAGTCCGGCCGTGCCACCTCTCGTCTAATGCTTCAAATGTCCGCTGGATGACGCAACTACTATTTCATCAATATATGATGAAAAGTTGCGAATTGGTGGTACTTGGAGTGTTCACTATAGATGAACGGACAGATGGACAGACGCACGGACGGGTGGAGAGACAGAGAGATGCACGGAAGGATGGATGGACGCTTGCGCGGGACTTATTCACAGACAGATGGACGGACAGAGGCAGGGACAGACGCACGGACGGACGGACGGAAGCAAAAATGAACAGACGGACAGAAGCAAGTACAGACTGCCGGATTCTTCACACCACTCATCATCATGCACTCCGTGGATATGCATTGATTTTTGTTATTGCTGTAGCAATCATATGGACTCTCTCGGCTAGATTTTGCCGCTGACATTGGCGTCATCGTCATTCGCCATATATGTATACACAGCTGTATATATGAAAATGCATGAACAAAATCATCCTGAAACAGACTCCGGCACGCGAAATCGTGCCTCCGACCTCTGAATTGTGAGTGCGTGGCGGCGTTGAGCCACGAAGCCACTGAGCCACGAAGGAGCACCTTCTGCAAGGTTCAAACGGCAAGCTATTTATATCTACCATTTCTCGCTGGCGATGGGCATCTCGGGAGAACTGCAATTGTGTTCTCAGCATTACCAGCGCGAATGCGCAATGAGCGTGCGTCGGCTAGGGAGCCTTCATGTGCGCGCGTCTTCGTTTTTTTTTAACAGAGAAGCACGCACATGAAGGTTCCCTAGTGTCGCCACATTTTGCTTCCTGTGCCCATTTCTGCATTCATTGTTCCATCATGAGACACGTGTTTGCCAGACAGTCCAGATGTCTGTGGAACGGGTTGAGTTGCAGCGTCAGTCAGAAAGGCTGTAAAGTACTCTACAGTTTTCTTTACACTTAAGCTTCATATGTAGGTTCATTTCAAGAGAGTAATCTTACGAAACTATTCCCAATGTGTTATATCTGTGAGTCGTATGGGAACCTGTGGAGGACATTGATTCGATACTGGCAAACTCAAAACTACAGGAAGGTGTTCATATCCAAAAAGATTATTTTTTACATTCCAATGAACTAGGGGTAAAAGCAATTCGGGCGTAATGGTGTGATTTATTTATGAGTAGGTTTTCTTGGCGAAGCTAAAGTACGTTGGCTTTTCTTATTGAATGGGCAGGCACCAGAACAAAAAAGTAACTGTTCAATAAGGCAACCTCATGCATCGCAGCGAGAATCTCCCCGGTGGACCATTATGTTATGTGCATTCAGGTCCACAAGCACCAGATAAGGTTCTGGTAGTTCGTCTATAAAAGAATGTAATTCATGCTTGTCAAGACTATGATGTGGAGATACGTAGAGAGAGAAGATGGTGACGAGTTTGTTCATAAGAACTTTAGAATAGCCACTACCGCAATGGTTGTTTGTAGTGGTAGATGTGTAGATGCTGTTCCTCAATTAAAAATTTCCTACACCGTTGGATGACGTCAAAGCACCATTTTTGTCGTTTCGAAATATATCATATTGACGCAAAAAGTTGGTGTTCTTCTAAGTGTGTTTCTTGTACACACAGCACTTTGTGCAAATATTTGTGTAGAGTTTTTGGACAACATGGAGATTTCTAAGTAGTACTCTGACGTTGCATTGTATATTTTGTCTTTTCATAGTTAGAGTAATATATTACTGTGTGTACAAAAAGAGAGTAATTTATGTATGAAAAGAAATAATGACATCTTTTACGGGGCCTTTGCGAGACCCTGTGATCAACGTTTGTCTTTTTTGGAGTGGTCGAGAGGCTCTCGTCACTCCATTGGCGCTGCTTGTACCGTTTGACGGGAAGTGTCTATCGCATCTGCTGATGCGACGGGCAGTCGCTCTACCAAGCGTTGTTTACGCAAAGTTGGTTTCGTCAGGGCAGACCAACCCTTCGGCCCCATTAAGCCAGAGGTAGAGTAGACCTCTTTGGATACTGCTGTATTTCTCTTCTCTCTGTTGTGCGTTTCCAAGTTCAAAGTGCCCTATTTGACATAGACGGCTTCTAAGGGCTCCGCACCTATTAAAACCAAGAGAGGTATGTAACCAAACCTGTTATAGTGGCCTGTTCGCTTTTCTTCATTAAGGTGTAGAGTACGGTCCCACAATGATAAGAGAGTTTCTGAGACCTTTTCACCCACAGTCTGTGTAAATCGTAAAAGCTTAACTGTTCCTTCATCGACTTTCGTTACTTAGGCGTCCCGCACACTTTGTATTGATGTTTCAAAGCTTAAGCGAACTCGTTTTATCAGCTGTTGCGTACTTACCCTGATAACGAGTTGTATCAGTGGGTCAAGTTGGGCTGTTATTGATTGTTGCCCCGTAATGGGGTTGATGGGACACTGGTTATTCCACAACACACCCAGCTGTTGTTCAACGCTTGTCGTTCCTCCACAGAGTTTGTACGTGCTGAAGTGGAACGAAAATGTGAGCGTGTGAGGCACTTTTGATGAAACTGCGAATGCTAGAGCACCTATTTTTTACAAGGCGTACACGGCTAAGCTTCCCTAACATTAACCCTCCGAGCCTGCAAGCAGATTTCGCGTTGAAACAGAAATCCCTGTGCTATTCACTCATTTCTTATGCCATTGAATATCAAATAATTACCACGGTGTCGTCACACAGATGAGGGCCAAGTGTTGTGGAATATTGTCGAACTGAACAGTTTATAAAGTTTTGATGAAATGTACATATAGTTCTTCTTTTTAAGGTAACCCATCCATTTTGGCGTATATCCGGTCACTTTTCCGACAAACGGACATTGTCCATTAATAGACTTTTTTACTCAAGGATCCCTGGGCACCGCATAGTCTTCTCTGGGCTGCTGTGAGTGCGCGTGTCCCCAAAAAATGCACTGCCGGGGCTGTGAAGCCCGCTTTTTTGCTCTCGTGCAACAGCCCAGAGAGGACGAATTATTGCTCTTTGTAATAAAGGTCGATAGCCAGCCTTTGAATGGCATTAGTTTACATTAACTCTCCTGAATTATTGCGACAGTCAAAATGCTCCTTGTGGGAAATTGTAATGAAAGAGTTGCCTATGTTTGCGTTTAGAGAAATTCATTCTAACGAACAGTGAACATCAAGTATAATCCAACAAAGCATCGCGATAGAACACAACATCCACAGACACACCACAAAATGTGACAAAAAGGTTTGTTTACACATGTACACGGAACACAACATACAAAGACAAACCAAAAATTGTTACGCACAGATATTATCACATATTTACATTACATGGTAAACGAACAGCACACAAATGAAACGTAAAGAACTATAAGTTAGTTATTTTCATGGTATTTAAGGTATTTGTGCTAGTACTAAATTAACATTACCCTAACAAAACCAGGCAAGCCTGAGCACAAGCTTTACACGTCTCTCGCAGACGAACACGAAAAGGCAAGACCAGTGTCGAAGGAATTCCTCCTCACAGAGAAAGAAGAGTTCCTCCGACAAAACATATAGTAGTTCTTTGTACAGTCGCTCCAAAATCAGAAAGAGGGCGCGACCGCGGCGATCTGCTGCAACCACCTCACAGCGATTGCGCCAAAGTGTGTAGGCAACAGCAACAACCAGAAGGCAGGCGAAGTGGCCTCCAGATCAACGCCCCAAAGAAAGAAAGCGATTCACTCCAAGGCCGCGAAATCCAGCATGCACGGCCCTCCAGAAAGCACGAGCCACGACGCATTGTCTCAAAACATCCTTATTCGTTTCCCGTAGGGAGCAGTTCGGGCATGTTGCTGACTGCACCATTCTCTATGCCTTTCAAGGCGATCAACGGTAAGAACAACCCACCCCAGCCACCACATGAAGTTCTGGACGTGACCAGGCAGAAATTATGCTGTCAGTGGGCTCCAAGGTACACGGATGCAGCGGGTGCGGCGCGCCCGAAGAACTAACGGGAACAACAAAATAGCTGTTGTGTCAACGATAGTATCGTCCAACACCTCTACCCCAGGGCAACTCGACTGGATATCACGAAAAAACGCGACAGCTGTTGCACAAAACGAAGGAAGTGCTGCTGATTGTGGGCCCTGAATAAATGTGCACATTAGGCCTTAAATACCAAAAGTGAGTGCCTAGAAATTATAATGCCAGAGTTTGCGCGGGAAATTCCTCTTCTTGTACGAGGCGCAACAGGAAGCGCAGGGCCAGTAGCCGGCAGCATATTGGCACCGAAAGGAAAACGAAGCCTCCCTGGGAATTCTGCTGTTCTAACGCCGCACGAAAAACCAACTCAGTGCCTCCGAACTAAAGGAAGGAACAAAAAGCAGACTTCAGTGACGTAATGATGCGTAAAGATGGCTGCTCCGCGCGAGAAAGGCACCAAATGCAACCGCAGAACGCAGTCTGCGCAAGGTACCTTCGCTCAAGAAGCGGAAAGTCGAAATCGCACGCGTTCCCAATTTTTTGTTTTACTTCGTCAAGGGTGTTTGACCAAGTGGAGTTACAAACGGTGTAGTGGTTGTATACAATTCCTAATATGTGGACAGACGCAGCCGGCTGAAGAAGTGGTGCGGAGCCAAGTCTGAAGTTTGGACAGCCAATGAAACATACCGGGATTTAGAGAAGTTTAGCGCGGCACCTGAAATGTCACCATACTCAAAGAATAATCGCAGGCTATGTGAAAGACTATATTCATCTGAAAGGCTCAGGGTTATGTCGTCAGCAAAAGGTGTGAATTTCACGGCACTGCTGCCCAGGAGCACAAGACCCCAAACACACGAATCCGCTTCCAGAGCATACAAAAATGGCTCAAGGCAGAGGACAAATAGAACATGAGACAATGGGCATCCCGGACGGACCCCTCGTGTAATGGAAAAGGTAGCACTCTGCTAACCATCTATAATTAGTGTGCTTTTTATACCAGAGTAGGTATGTCTAATTAATTCACAAAAGTATCAGGAAAACCAAGGGCTGTGAGCACACTAAAGATATACGTGTGCTCTAGTCGGTCAATTGTGTCGGCAAGCTTGATTCATAGCACTAGCTAGCAGCAGTTCTACAGGGACTGGTGCCGCACTGGCAACGACACGGCCGAGTATCTCTGGTGACAAGTTCTTCCACTACTTCTAAAGAGAAAGAAGTCGCATGCGCAAGCTGGAAAAGTGTTGAACTTAAGTGCCACAATAAGCACCTTGATGTTCTTGGTCTTGGTCCCAAGTTTCGTTTGGAGCCGTCACTCAAGCGGGTGGACAAGTTGGTGTTAGCACGGTCCATTTCCAGGCAAGTGGTGGAAGAGGAGCGATCCAGGTGCAATTCGGAGTGTGTGGACGCCATTGTTAAGACTGAGACGAACGCACAGGGTAGGGACAGAGTTCGCCCAATTTGTATTTTTGGCAGATAACAAACTACAACTTCTTAAAGCTGACAAGGAAGGTTTCTTTGTTGTTATGGATGAGGGAACCTTTTCTGAGAGGGCCGTGAAAGCACTCGACAAGAACTTTGTACCTGCAAATTGCTAGAGTTCGAAAGTAAAGAAAAATGCTTGTTCTTTGCTTTCTGACATGAATTTTGAGCGGTTAGCTTCTGCGGTCAAATCTGCTAAGTGATCTGAACTTGATATATTTTTTTCGGTCAAAACACACAAGCCAGAAAAGCCTTTCAGAGCGACTGTGTCCGAAAGAGACACGTGGCAAAATGTTGTTTCGAGATACCTGCAAAGCTGTTTAGAAACTCTTGCTATCCGGGATCCTTTTCGTGTCAGTAACTCCGAAGTGGTGGTACAGTTTCTGAGCACCGATAGCTCTAGCAAATGTAGCACTTTCAGTATAGACATTGAGGACTTGCACTATTCGATACCTCAAGATGAGCTGATCGCAAGCGTTCAAAGCTGCATCGCGCCGGATAATGATGAATTGTCTTTCAGCCTGACGTGTGGAACTTCTGTATCCAGTTTCCTAGAATTACTTAGCTTCTACCTGAAGTCAACTTTTGTGGCTTGGAGTGGCAATCTTTTTGTCCGGAGATCAGGGATATGCATAGGCTATTCAGTAGCGACTATTTTTTCGGAAATATTGATGTAGCACTTCAAAATAATTTATCAGGACTCCCGGTTCACGTATTCAGATACGCCGACAGTTTTTTTTTTTTTGTGTTCACTACGTCCTCAGAGTTTGCGCGAAATGTTGTTAATATTTTCAATATTTTTAAAGAAACAGGCAAGAAACTAAATTTTTCTTTTGAATTGCCGCGTCTGAAGCAGCTGCAATTTCTAGATCTTAACTTGGTCTTCGAACCCCAGCATGATTGCTGGTATTGTCCTAGATCCGTAAAGCCTATACTCAATTACAGGTCCAGCCACTCTAAGTTGGTGAAGAGAGGTATCGTTACTATGAGTTTGGGTTTTTCTCTAAAAAAGTCCTGTCAACACAGAATGAAAATGAGCTTTCATAATCAAGTAAAGAAACTAGTACAAGCAGGTATCCGAATGATGTTATCACGTCCGTTTCTGACAACATGATTAAGAAACTTAAATTTGAAGCGAACCACTCGGGGCGTCGTGATGAGAGTAGAAAAGGTAGGAGGATAGCAGTAATTCCTTACCTTCATAAGACATCGCATGAACTTAAGCAACTCGCTAATAGCTATAAATTCAATGTGCTTTTCTCAGCCAGAAGCAAACTGCAGTTTATTTGCTCACGCATGTGCAGAGAGTTTCCGCAATGTCGCATGAAACACAGCAAAAAGTTCGTGGACTGCGCAATGGGCGTTGTTTACTTGACTACTTTTAGCTGTGGTAAAGTGTACATCGGCCAGTCGGGAGGGTGCGTCAATTTTAGTCTTAGAGAGCACGATTCTTCTTTGAAATCTTTGGGTGCATCGCATCTCGCGGTTCATTGCAGAGAGTGCGGTTGTTATCCTCTTTTTCAGGATACTGAAGTGGTTTTTCGATCTAAAAATAAATAACTCGTGAGTTGACAGAAGCTTTTCACATAAGAAAAGGAGGGAAACAATGCGTCAGCCAGCCTACGGCTTTGCTGCATGATAAAGAGTTTGCCTTTCTAGATTATGTTCTGAGATAATCTTTCTTCTTTTACCCTGTGTTCTCGATGTGCCACGGGTGTACCTTCTTGCCAGCACACGCATGCGTTGTTTTTTAATTGTCTGTATATATACTGAAGCGCGCTAGCGAAGATTCGACGTAAGTAGCCGTGGTGGCGGAGCCCTCAGCCGTGGACTGCGGGTGGAGTAACTGCGCTCGTCGAAACTCGCAGCATTGATGCTTGGGGATAGTGTATCACACTGCGGGTCTCCAGCTTGCATGGGAACAGAGACATGGTGACGCAGTTCCTCCCGTACAATCTGACGAATGGTGGAGGAAAGGTCGGCAGGTAGAGAATTCTGGCAGACATCGACGGTGCCAACAGTCGTGACGTTGGCCAGGCGTCCGAACTTCGATGTGATGCG